TGTTCCATGGATATTCTACCTTTACATGCGGCAGGAAACACCCTCCTTTCAACACTCGTTTCGTAAAACACAGCTCTAGTGTTTAAGGTTATTTTGATAATACACATAACCTATCCTTAGCCAGCTCTGTTTCCACAAGTTGGCCTAGCACTCACAAACACTTGGTAAAAGTAGACATTAAGGCTTATCTAATGAACTTTGCTACCTGGGTCCGCTGACTGAGACTGCAATTCACTGACTATTTGGATCTCGATAATGAGCTCTCACGTGAACGTTGGAGCACACGGTGCTCAATCCAGCAAAAAACGGAACTCTTTGGGATTAACTGTGATGGCCGGCAATGAGACATTTTGTTTCCAACATCCTCCAGTCCTGTTTGGCCGAAACACCTAAGGAAAGCTGATTTAAGCCCCTCCCCCCCACTTATACATGAACCCAGTGATGCAATCAGTGAAAGGCTTAGTCGCATCACACCTGACTTCGCTAATCTGAGTAGAGTTGGCGGCTGCATTGTGGACTTCCCCGCGAGTGATTGGTCCCCGAGTTATGGTTCAGATGGTTCTGCCAGGCTTTTAAGAACTCCTTAAATCTAGGGCATGTCATTTGACGAGGTGATTTATTACCAAACGATTAGAGGGAATCATACAGTAAAAGTATACAGTAAGATTTATGTGTACAAACCAATTTTGAGACGTCTTTTCAACTGCTACCCACATAACAGTTTGAATCTGCACAGAATCAGTACATAACAGCAAGGCCATTGTTTACTGCAGCGAATAAATGAACAATTATCTTGCTCTGATGTATTGATTCTGTACATATTCAAACTGTTGTGTACTCCAATTGTTATCCATCCCAGGCAAGGATGGATAGCAGTTGAAAAGCCGTCTCGAAATTTTCTTTTTACAAATAAATCCTGCAGTATGCGCTTGTTCTAAATTATTTACCTTGAATACGATGCTGCAATGTATTGTCTAAACAAAGGTATCTTGTCGCCTGAGTCAAACTGAATATAAGCTCTTTTTCGGCGTCCATCTTCTCGAAAAAATATGCGAATTGTGCTTACGGTGTGGTAAAAAAACACGGTCAGACAAATTTCTTACTGCGTTTTGTGGCTAAAAACTGTATAAATTGGCAAAAATATTTGGTTACACTAACGTTGATTGACTACCTCAGATACCCTTTGCCCCAGAATTTTGTTTTACGAAACCAGTGGTATTATTTTAGTTTAAATTGTAGTTTATTGTATCGTTTAATTTTTGTTTCAGTGCTGTTCAGTTGTGGGTGTAGTTAATTTTGTTAACTTTGGCCTAGTTCAGTTAGTCTGGTTTAGTATGAAGTAGTTATTTATGTATATTTGTCCAGCTTTTGCGATAGCTAACAAAACTAAAAACTAAACGCGAGTAAAACTAAAATTAAAGTAATAAGCAAAATCATAACTTTAAAACTAAAGTGAATCAAAACTCAAGTTGAACTACTAAAACGAAAAGAAACCGCAGGACCCGAGACAAATGGTATCTGAGGTGGCCGACCAACTTTATTACTGCCAAGTATTTTTCAGACTCTATATCGTTTCCTGTGTTTAAAAGACAATGCCATTCCGTACAGACTGGTTTTCGCCTGATTTTCCGGTTCCTGAAGGAATTTTGGGCACATTTCCTCCTTATATTTATGGTCTTTTATAGCAAAACTGCACAAAAAACAATGGGTCCATCGCAGGGGTCGCCACAGGTCTTGTTCTGGCCGACAAAGACAAGGGAGGCTGGAGCGGCCATTTCTGGCTCATTTGCCGCCGTCAGCCAGTCATACGCAGATCCAAGTTTTTGTTTTGTCACGAGAAATAGCATAGGAAATTTTTTTGGAATATGTGGCAACTTCGGATTTTGCCCAATTTTTGGCCGTTTCCCCTCAACAAAACCAGATCAGAAATGCAGTGTGCTTTATTTAAAAAAGGCGCTCTGTGTCTCAAATGCTCTCAACGGATCAAAATAAAGAGATCAGATGTACGCTAAAGCTATCTCTCATATTTAGATCACGACATTGCATGCATCAGGGCTCATCTACTTTAGCCCTGATCATGTTTGAATGGCGGCGGTCGTTCAAATG